AAAAAAAAAAAAAATATATAGAAATGGCTCACCACTCTCAGATCTTAACAATCAAACCAAAACTATATTTGGAGATTAAAAAGGATAAAGGGGAAAAAATAAGCTTATCGGGGAGAAAAGGACACAAGTTACAAGCTATGGAACAAAATAATTATAAAAATGGTCAAAAAACATGACACATTATTGTAAAGAAACTAGATATTAAAAGAATTCTTAATATCTACAGCATTGAGAATTGTGGCATGTGTAGAAGACCAATGATTGATGAATATACATCAACCCTATATTGCTTTTCAAAACACAATACCTAATGACTTTATACTATCTTTTTAAAGGAGACAGTTAGAGCTGAGAGATGATTCCACAGTGCAGTGATAATGCATTGAACTTCTAGTTAGAGCTGAGTATGGTGGCACATGCCTGTCATGCCAGCACTCAGAGGTGGAGCCAGAAGCAATTCGGTGAGTTCGAGGCAAACCTGGGCTACAAAGCAAGTTCTGAAAGAGCTAGTGCTACACAACCAGCCCTTGTCTCAGAACAAAGAGAAAAATGTACAACTAAATATGCACTAATGTTTTTGAGGATAATTTTTCTCAGAAAGCAAATATACAACTCATAAATTCAGAACCAGCCTGGGAAGGGGCTGGGGAGATGGCTCTCTGGATAAGAAAGAATATTGCTGTGCATGCATGAATGAACTCCCTAGCACACTGCCATGGAAAGGGGAGGGCCCTATAAGGCCTGTACTAATACCTTCTTCTGAATAGCTCTTGCCTTTGGAGAGACCGAATTTTGGCCAGTCCTTGTGTCCAAGTTAGCAGGATGCACTGAGATCATCTAGAGCTATGTACTCAATCAGCTATCATACTGTGTACTCAGCCTGTTCACTCAATTCAAAGTGCCATTAAAACAGCAATGTAACTTACCTACTAGGGCTTGTATTTCTCAATTATCTTTTACAATTTAAGCTAGATGCATAGCTTTAATCTTAAACTGGGTATTCTTCCATGTCCCTGACCCAGAAGTTTGTCTGTGTGTTATGGTAATTATTTGCTGAAAGTAACCAAGACACTGAAAACAACCTTGAAGAAAACAAATATCTCATAAATGGTAAAAGCAACATGTGGATGGATACAGGATAATGTCTGTCTGAGGTTTCAAATGCTCTTCTGATCAGCAGGAGTCAGTAAAGTAACTTCTTGTAAAACTGTTGAAGATTTTTGTAAAAACATATTTTGTATCCCTCTCCCATTCCATTTTCTGTGTTGTTCAATAAACACAGAGCAAAGCCCTTTGTTAGCAAGAGACCCACACCAGAGAATACAGACTGCAATCAAAAACTACAGACACATGGTAGCTGGGGAAGAGAAGGTGAGAACTGAAGTTTGGGCTCACTCAGGCTAAACATCTCTTTTAAAAAAGTCTCTTCTTATTCCTTAAGTGGCATTGATACAAAGGTCCACCCTTGCCTGAGGGTTTTTAAGCAGTTAATTGTGGTAGTAGTGGAAGAGACATTCTCTTCAACGGTGTAATCTCTAGTCACGTGTCCATGCTCCAAACCCTTATCCTGTTTCCTAGAAACAATGTTAATGCTACTGACTGGGTCACTGCCCATTCATGAAAGTAGAAGGGAAGGTTACACTGTGGAAATCAGTATGGCGGTTTCTCAGAAAATTAGGAATCGAACTACCTCAAGACCCAGCCATCCCACTCTTGGGCATATACCCAAAGAATGCTGATACATACCATAAAGATACATGCTCAGCTATGTTCATAGCAGCACTATTTGTAATAGCCGGAACCTGGAA